TAGCGAATGCATTGCGCAAGCTACACTGCCAGTCTGGCGTCCCGTGGGACGAAAACCCGCAAAAACCGACGAGTCGGAACCGAAAAAAAGTTCAGAGCTGTGAACTTTTTCTCGGTTTCTGCGGGATTTCGTTTTAGTGATGAATGATTAGAAGTGATTGTTGCTGATAATATTGTGACGATGGAACAGTTTCAAAAGTAAATGATGAAAATGGTGTAATTCATGATTAAAGAAGACAAGATATGTTTCAAAACTCTTCATTCTACTTCAAATATGATAATACAGAAAATTGTATCTAAGCTGACAAATGATTATGATCGAAAATATATTTTGGTTAGTTGTAAAATCTTTAAAACAATTATTCAATTATAATTTTGTTAAAATACAATAATATTTAACATGAATAATTAATTAATTCGATCACTTATCCATCACTATGCTATAAACAACAGCGTCCACTCGGCGGCCGCCCGGAACGAAAAAACGCAGAAACCGTAAAAACGCGGAAACCGAAATCACGCAGAAACCGAAAAAACGCTGACAGTGTAGCCTGAGCTTTTGGCGGCTATGCGTTCCAATGATGGGACGGGGTGGTTGGGTGGTTTTTGAGCAGTTTATCTTCGAGGTTCATCTGATAAAGGATAACGGCACTGTTTTTCATAATCTTTATGAGTTGATAAGGATTTAACTTTAACACGGGGAGGGGCCGACGGGGAGGGGGGCGGGTCACTCAGGCGTCGCCCCACCCTGACGGTTTTTTCGCGATTGATCTTATGGCGCTGGGGATAAAGAGCTGAAACTTGGAACACCAGGCCTTTGATTCAAGCCGGATTTTGTGAAATCAACCACATTTTCAGGTCGGGTCAGATCACTGACCTATGACGTCATACGTAAACCTCTGCCGTTCTGCACGGTCCTAAAATAGTTCAGTGCTGCAACTTCGCAACGCCCTCAGTGTCAGACGATTTTCACTGGAAGATGAAACTTAGCAGGGCTGCAGAGTCGATGGATTTTCGATGACTCCGACTCCCACTTCTACTCCCACTCCGGGCAGATCTGTCGACTCCGACCGACTTCAACTTCGACTCCGACTCTGCAGCCTTGCCAGGTCTGCGGAGTCGATGGATTTTCGGCGGCTAGACTCCGGTTCGCAAAATCGACTCCGACTCCGGCCCCGGTCAGAACTGTCGACTCCGACCGACTCCGGACTCCGCAGCCCTGCTCCCAAGACCTCTTTACTTGTATTATATTGGATTTTTCTTAAAGGGCACCTGAGGTCAGGTCGCTAACATGACCTCACCATTATAAGCCTCTATGTCATTGCGGGGAACTATGGAAACTGTTATTTTGGCGCCGGAAATGATCTCATCAAATCGAGTTAGCGAGTCGCAAAAGCCATCAATGGACTCAGGAAGACCATTGAATCGAATAATAGGTATGCAATACAACCTCCTTCAACCAACTTCGTGACCTTAGTGACTTTGATCTGACTGGCCTTGACCTGAGGTCCACACTCGAGTTGACCTTAGGTATCCATCCATCAAGCAAATAATATAGCATTTGACGTGCTGAAGTAAGAAGAGCCCGTTAGTGCCGAAATCGCGGCTCCGAGATTATTTTATAGCGAAGTGATTTGTTTCTTTGTTTGTTTTGATGGGTTAGGCCCTTTCGGTCTGACGAGACCAGTTCAGAGCCGGAACGATGATAGGCAGTGGCGGTGGGACAACTTCAATTACGGGGAACTGCCGACTTTTGATCCCATTCTTTCCATGCAACGCCCATGGGGCTAATGTTAAAATGCCAAAATCAAAGGGGGTACGGTACTCCCCCCCCCCCGTTCCGCCGCCTATGATGATTAGAATTAGGGGGAGACATTGGTCTTGGCAGGCACTCTAGGGAGTCGCCGCCCGCCGGGACTGAGCCCGTCCGAATGGACGGGCCGACCAGCCTCCCAAGTAGGTACGGGGACCCGCAGTTGCTACTGTACACGAACCCCAACTCTAGCCGTCTGTCCTGTCCTAACAACCGATAATATTGAGATCGACTGCCGGTCCCTATACAAGAGCAGCTGAGGTTTTCTGTGCGTGCCCTCTGACAGCTTATCTTTGTTCACTGTGAGGGTGCTGAGACAATTTACTCAGGGTCGCTGTACAGTAGCAACTGCGGGTCCCCGTATTCTCTGCACCCGGTTACGGGTGTGCTCTGGCGGAGCTGCCCGCATGGGATAAAGTTGCCCGTCCAGCCCGTATCAGGGGGTTGAGGCGTGGAGGAAAAGGATTTGGCTATCCTGAGGATGGAAAAGATTGAACAGTGTGTTATCAAAAGATGGTGATGTGTGCATTTTACGCCGGCATAAGAGCTTGGCGACTGGGTATGCACGTCCTCTGCCGAGACAAAACGTCTTACCCCAATGGTTCGATTACTTCGTTGAGGACAAATATGGACTTACTGGACGTTCCCGACACCATAACTTCGTTTTAACGCACCGCACCCAGCCGTTCAATCCCTAAATTCGATTGATCTTGGCCCGCAGTTTACCACAGGGATTAGCGCCCAACCCTCCGCCGTCCTATCTCACCAAGCTTCACCACTCCGCCGCTAGGTGGCCAGCCGTGGTCGCTTACATCAAAGGCGCCGACGGAGAGTTGCCGATCCAGGAAATCTCTAATCCATGCCTCTATCAATGTTTAACTCCCTTAGAAATTCCCGCGTTATATTCTACTAGCTACCGTCGCTGGTCCAATGACGTCATTCAAATTAAAGAGATATTTTCTATCTATTATTTTTCTTTATCACTAAATTTATGACTACTTATACAATTTCTTTGTGACTTCACTAAAACAGCGCATAGTGGCAAATTTACCTTACGTTATACCATCCCTCCCATCGCCCTCTAGTCCATAAGAGATTTGATTCATTATTGAATGCCATTTTCAAACCCTCATGTTCAATCAACTTTCTTTCATTTCAAATAATTGCTTAGCCAGACCTAGGAGAGTTTGAGGTCACATCGGTCACGTGACATCGTCCTACCTCACCTTTAGGCATAGGTATTCAATATTCATTAGGTATTCAACAGCTTTAGTGCTCATATATCCAAATCTTGTCCTATTGTAAGCATTCGACATCACGGTTTCATCATCTTTTATAATGCATTGCCAGCCTATATATAGGTAGGTAGGTATATTAGCTCAGTCAGTGGAGTATTGGACTCCGTGCAGTGTAGTGAGAGCACACTTCCCGGTTACAAAAGTCCGAGGAGGTTCGAGGCTCGATGTCTAAGAGGCTTCTGGCTGGTATAGTTGTGGTTGCCGCCAGACCGCAGCCAGCAAAGGTCAGTGCCAGGGACGGGCCGTATAGGCGGCTATGTGCGTGCTGTAGCGTGCACTGCCGCTACCGCGCTCCAACTGTTGTTCTATATACCCTGCTCCAACTGCAAGACACCTGGCGGCAAGTCTAGAAAGCTGAGCACCTTACTACGAGAAAATGCTCTTTTTACAAACACTTGTTATAGGTCGGCGTATGTTTGATGTATTCTTTGTTGTTCTGCATCTTATAAAAAAAATCATGCCGTACACACAAAACAAAACAAAACAAAAATGAATAAGGCGAGTCGGTACCTAAATCTTGCGAATACTACCGATCTCTTCATGAGTCGGCCGTTCCTTTCGTTCAGCAGCTTTTAGGTCACTATATTAGCGATAGGTGAGTGACCGACCCAGGACGAATCTTCCTCTACAGCAGCGGCATCATGAACGCATTGTCTGCAAGGAGATCGGAGCCTAGCGGCATTCTATACAGAATTCGGCACGGTCTTTTGCGCTCACCGGCGCCGATGTCCCTCTTCTTTCTCCAGAGGAAGGGCGAGTAAATACTGGAGCTTATGGGCAGGGAGGAGTATACAAGCAGAGCGGGGTCGGCCTGCTGGTCCATCTCGGCAGCGCCGACATCCCTCTTTTTCCTCCAGATTAGCGGCGACTGGACGATCGGCAGGCCGGCGAGGCCGACCGCCGACGGCACGGCTGACGAGTAGAGCAGCAGGGACGGCTCGGCCCGCTGGTCGGTAGGGGACACCTCTCGACGGGCGAGCGGCAGCGACAGCGCGCTGGCCGCCGACGCCGCGAATAGCACGCACAACAACTGAAATGAACATGGGAATGGGTCATAACAAAATACCCCGTGACGAGATAGGATATTCTGGCAGTAACATTAAATATACTCATTGGCTTTTTTGTATCACTGCTGACGGTTAACCGTGCCGTCCCTCTCAGGTGATTAGTGATTGCAACTGATTGCAGAAAACTTCAATTCGATAAAGAGGTAGGCATGCTACAACCGATAACGAGAAATAGTTCACATGCTTATCAATTGTTAAACGCTTATCAATTCAGTTTCTATGATTATTTCTTTACACAATTAATTTTTGAAGCCAAACTATTAATGTTCCAGTCCATACTTTGGCGACACTTTGGCGATATGCTCGGTCAGCAAATTTCGAAAATAATCCATAAGCTGAAGCTGAAGCTGAAGCTGAAGCTGAATTCGAATTTAGCAACCATTTGAACATTTACGAAGTAGTTTTGGTGCCTTTGTAACATGTTACGAAGCTGCCAGAGGCGGTTGACACGTATTACGAATACCCGTCACAACCCCTACCGGTTGACCTGACCTGACCTGACCCGACCTGGTCTAAATGCTTAGAAACATCATCTCTGATAAAAACTAACACAATATTCGTGATCAGCACCCCGGAAAACCACATAGCAGCCACACTTTACGACTTTCTAACAGGTCCCGATTTTCCCGGTTTTCGGGTCATTGACCTGACCTGGAAGGTCACCCGATGACCTAGGACCTTAAAATTGGGTATCTTCGGCTTCCTCTCGTGACGGGCAACACGCTCGTTTTTTCCGCGAAGCTCTAGCTCGGTCAGGGGCCAAACGCGAGGGGGGGTCGTACCAACTTGTGCCTTCGAAGGACGCAAAATGGCATGTGCCGGCGAGGGTTAATACTATTTGTATTTGCTTACGAATACTGAGGCAGCCACCACCTGAAAGTCCTGCACAGGCTGCAGACACTGTGAGGGGCTTATGTTGTCACAAATGATATTCAAAGTCAGGGCACGACTAGTGTAAGGCATGGTCAAGGAGCTCACGAGTCTACTTCTTCAGCAGCGGCATAACGAAGGCGCTGTTTCTGAGAATGCTGGACCTCAACGGCATGCTGTACAGGATCGTTGACGCGTCGGCACTCTGGTCAGCAGTGTCCCGCTTCTTTCTCCAGATAAACGGCGAGTAAATACTGGAGCTTATGGGCAGGGCGGAGTATACAAGCAGGGCGGGATCGGCCTGCTGGTCCATCTCGGCAGCGCCGACATCCCTCTTTTTCCTCCAAATTAGCGGCGACTGGACGATCGGCGACTGGACGATCGGCGACTGGACGATCGGCAGGCCGGCAAGGCCAACCGCCGACGGCACGGCTGACGAGTAGAGCAGCAGGGACGGGTCGGCCCGCTGGTCGGTAGGGGACACCTCTCGACGGGCGAGCGGCAGCGACAGCGCGCTGGCCGCCGACGCCGCGAATAGCACGCACAACAACTGAAATGAACATGGGAATGGGTCGTAACAAGTCGATATTCTAACATTTACAGCAGTTACTTGACCTGTAGCTGCTTTACAGTCAGGAAAGGTACCTAGATAATTACATACATAAAATAATCATGTCAGTTGAGTAGTAGCTGTATGGCAGCTGATAAAGATCATGAACTTACGATGACTGCCGAAAGTTTGGCACGAATGTTACGGACGATTACGTCTTAGTTCATTAATATGTGTTATGGAATGTTGGTCAAAAGAAAGAGAAGTCAGTGTGAGGTAACTTTCAAATATTGGTTTCTTTCATGTAATGTGTGCTCACGCTCAGTTATGGTGTATTCGTATGATTATTTTGTGCATCTGTGCTTTAGACGTACGGCTACAACTTTTCCTCGTGGTGGAATGTATTTTGGTAGGTGGTTGAGACGTTTGAGACGTATTGTCTTGTATTTTAATGCATTTTAAAGCACGGCTGACGAAGGGAGCAGAAGCTTCCGAAAGCTACCGAATCAATATACGCATTACTGGTGTCGAAGAATTGGTTCCTAAACACTATCTATCTAGGTTGTAACCCCCGCGGCCTCTTTGTGTTGAAGAAATTCGCTCCCTTCATTTGAAAATGGGCCTTGTACAAGGCCCTATCTTCAACATGGAGCGACCGTTAGTGTGACGTCACCTCGTTTAGTCATTCTGATTTAAATGGGTTTGTTCGTTGAAAAATCGCTTAAAACTTGGTCTGAACTTTGTTGTGGTGCCTACAGAGTAAAAAGAATCAGCTTTATGACAGTAATGTGGCCTGGGGAAGGAGGTAATTTTGGGCTGTGACGTCACATATTTGAAAGTTTGTGTTTGGAATATGGGAAGCCTAAGATGTTTAATGAAAAATAAATGCCAGAACCGTGTTCCTGGTCATCCAATCTATAAAGTCGGGCACAATTTAACTGGTTTTAACAACATTTTAGAAGGTGGGATAGTCCCTTTAAAGGGACCCTCCCACCTTAACATTAGATTTGAGTTGAGATAGCCAAAATGGGGTCCCTGGCTCACAATTACCGGTTTCGGCACTCACAACATCGAGAAATGCCTTAAATCGGAAATATTGAATTTCAAAATTGCAGCATTTTGATTCAGAGGGGCTAATGCATAGGAATACCCCTCTGAATGTGTGACGTCAGCGCAGATATCTAACTCCTCGGATTTATACAATTTTATTTTGAGAATGCACCAAAATCGTTTTTTAAAATATTTTATTTTATTCTTGATCGATTTTCGTGGCCAAAAGTGTGTGTGGGGGGAGGGGGGCGTCGGACCGGCATATTTTCAAGAATGTGTGTGTGTGGGGGGGGGGTCCGGACCCCTCCGACCCCCCCCCCCCCGTCGGCGACGCCCCTGCATCGACCAGCGGTCCCCCATTCATTCGGAATCGTACCCCAATCCGAGGATCCATGCTTCCGGCGGCTAAGTGCAACGCCACAAACCCGTCCGTTCGCAAACGGCCTAGGCCATTCGCGAATGGCCGGCCATTCGCAAACGGACTAGTCCGTTTGCAAACGGACCGCCATTCGCAAACGGCCTAGTCCATTCGCGAATGGACTAGTCCGTTCGCAAACGGACTAGCCTTCGCACTTGGCCCGTAACATATACATTATACATACATACGTTGTGCGTATCATGTTAAATAAAGAACGTCAATGAGCGTGCTGTATTTAATCCTTCAATAATCTTGAATCTACCCTCGGCTCACAGTAACGGGACATAGAGCACTTCACGGATAGGCTTTTCAAGATCCAGCCCGGCCCATATCCAGCAAGTCATATCCAGGTTCGCCCATTATCCGTCTTAGTCTTTGAATTTCAGAATCCGACCCGCCCATGGCCCATATTTCAGCCAGTCAGCCAAAAGATAAATATCAATAACAATCCGTTTTAGCAAAAACTGGTTGTGAGAGTAGGTATCATAAATTCACTGTAAGGGACCAAAAATGCCTCCCGTGGGGAAAGATGCACAAAACCACAACAGCACTTTACATGCACTTACAAAACCAAAGAAAAAGGGTACTCAATTTACTGAACGATTAATTGCTGTATATCATAGGACAAAATAAAATACAAATCTAGCAAAAAGACATTTTGTCCATCCGCGTCGCGAATTTCACTGAAGACGTTTGATAAGCAACCGATATTTGGTTTTGCTTTACGCAGAAACATGAAAAACACATAAACGTTGCTACTTTTGACACTAGAGGGTTATGCTGGGTGCCTTACGTCCGAGGAGGAGTCTTGTCCCACTCTCCCCTACAGATCACATAGTTCATACACGGATCATGCAGATCATATTACAAAAAATCCCCTTTGTAGGAGTTAGGATTTGTGATCCTATACTATAGCTCATAGCTCATATATGTATAACAAATAGTGCTAATGAAGATAAAAAATCATCGCTTTATTGGCAAGAAAATTCAGGCATCTTTTGTCGATATCCAATATTCATTCAGTAGGTACCTACTCATCATTATGTTTAAGCCAAGCTTAAGTCCTACTTTGCGACCTACAGCTGTTTCGTCTATTGGAGTATTTCAGACGCAATTCCAACCCGACTATTGATGTGTTTCAGGGGGTCCATTGGCTTGCGTTAGCGGCAGTACTCACAGTAGTTCTCAGGTCATAATTTGTGCCCATTAGTTAGCTCTTTGCTGAATGATAAATCTGTCTCGTTTAGTTGAAAAATGAGTTGAGAATCTGTATTTGCAGTTGTACCCTGCAAAGGTTGCCAATGAAAGCGGACCACATAGTAACAATATTGTTACTATACAGGAGCCGGCGAGCCGCGGTTCGGCCTCGCCGGCCTGCCGATCATCCATTACATTGCACTCAGAGGCTTGAAAGGGGAACTTGTGAATCCGTGAATGGCAAGTTGTCCATGAGCGAATGTGAAATACGGTGGTATGCAATGCTTGCAACATTCTTTGGGGACTATATAAGTTGTAAGTAACGGCTCATGGGTTTGGATATTTGATGAAATGGAGCATGAATCTATCATTTGTATACAAAGCGATGAGTATGCATCGCAGTTGATTTGGAGTACCCAGCATCCATTTCCTGATCCTTACATGCAACCAGTATTTGAATCACCGCCAACCTTGAAGGGCCCTCATTCGGTGGTCAAACTTCAGCTAATCCATACCGAGCCTTTTGTTTCCAGCAGCCCAGCTAGCTAGCAGTCACCGTTTGGTTCAGCATCTTGGTCAGCATGCTGCTCAACATGTTGCTCAGCATGTTACCCACGATGTTGGCCACCTTGCTGACATTCCAGTTAGCCGTCCCGTCGGTCATCATGCTCTCCAGAAGCTCCACCAACCCTTCCATCATGAAGTCAGTGAAGCTGATGTCCTTGCTGGCCATCTCATGTTCACTGGCTGAGGATCGATTCGAGTTCGTGACGTCTCCACTTCCCACAACTGCTCTGTCAAGTCCTTCAGCAAGTTCGGTCACTTTCTGTGCTATCTTCTGTGCTAGGGAGACCGGATGTCGATCACTGGTCTGGGAAAACGAGTGTATATTGTTTGGGGATGTTGGGAACGACTCTCAAGACGTTCAGCCTGTTGATATGTACAGAAAGGTGGTTGACGAAGGGACACGTCTTGTTGGAGATCATGGAGAGCCTGCAGGAAGTTATGGTGAAGGAGCTGCCACAACTGAAACTACGGCGAAGCCCATGGCAAGACCTACGGTGGACAGTACGACCGGTATTTATGAAGCACAGCCGACAGCAACTGAAAGGACCAGCCTGGAAAATCAAACGACTGTCCCATGGAACTCGGACACCCTTGAAATCCAAGAAGTCACGTCCAGGATCTCAACAATGGGTTCTGAAAATCCAGCAATGACCACAGAAAATCCAACAACAAGCATAAGCAGCACATCAAGCCGACCAACTGCCACCGAAAACCAAACAGCTTCCGTCAAAAACTCGACAGACCTTGATAACCAGACAACCACAGCCGAAAACCCAGCCACCGCAATGGAAAATCAAACTACCAGCCTTGAAAATAAAACTTTCAGCATGGAAAATCAGACTATCAGCATGGCAAATCAGACGAGAAGTTTGGAGGGCCTAGCAGCTGATGTAGGAGAAGAAATAGAAGGCTCCACCACAATCACCTCCGTCAACGCCACCACCACCACAACAACAACAACGACAGCAACAACAACGACAACGACAATAACAATAACAACCACAACAGCCCCCATCCTTCTTTCCTCTCAAAACTCCTTCGGGAGAATCATCGACAACCGCTTCTATCGCCGTATCACCGCTCCCGAGCCCATGACTTACCAGGAAGCCAGCTACCACTGTGGCGTGCTTCTCCCGGGAGGTGACCTGGCCAGTATCTTCACGATCAACCAGTTGAATTTTCTATGGGAGGACCCAGCACGTCCGGATACGGAAGAATGGATCGGAGTCCGACGTTCGGCTTTCAATTTGTCGCCACTGAATGCAAATGGATCCAGAGTGCCGTTCTCGATTGCAGAGTTCACGGAAGGAGTTGGGTTCTTTGTGGTTCTACCTGCTGGAAGAGTCCAGAAGAAACTATTGTACGTCGGGGAAGTTAAGTATGACTTAGACTCGGGGTACGCTTTGCAACATATGGTCTGTGACGTTCCTGTACAGCCTTTTGTGGGTTAATACATTTTGAACTGGCTTTATTCTAAAAATTAAGCTGGCATTAGTTAAAGGGACCCTCCCACCTTAACATTAGGTAGATTTGAGTTGAGATAGCCAAAATGGGGTCCCTGGCTCACAATTACCGGTTTCGGCACTCACAACATCGAGAAATGCCTTAAATCGGAAATATTGAATTTCAAAATTGCAGCATTTTGATTCAGAGGGGCTAATGCTTAGGAATACCCCTCTGAATGTGTGACGTCAGCGCAAATATCTAACGATTTTTAAATGTTTGACTAAAACGTTTTGTAGCACGCGGTGGTATATGCTATTTGCGC